TTTCATGATTCTTGCTCTACAACTTTATAAGGTTTCTCAGCACCGTACTGTGTGCTTAATAAGAGAATGTACAATAAAATAAATCTTAGAACTGTGTATAATTTCTGAATCATATCCTTAATGTGGTTGAGGATACATTCCCAATCACAATATCTATGAAGACAGAAATGATGTATGAGTCCTGAAACAGCCCTAGGCAAGGTTGTTATTCATCTTTTAGTGGCGTCAGACACAAATTCTTTAGCAGTTCTACTGAAACAGTGAACCATAAAATTCATTTTTCCTGGCCGTGATACATACTTAGCATTTTTGGTCCTTGGTGTAGGTCTTGTCTCCTTGAAAGAGTAAGGAAGAGTATTATATTTTCAGTGGGTTGGCCTTTATTGGAATCCCATTAGGCTCCATTCTGAAACTTGTTGTGTTAAGTATATCTTGACTTGGCCAAATTGAATACATTTTGTTATTCATCATGTTATAAATTTCTGCCTTGACACTGATGATACTGATTTATTTGTAAACCAAACCTGACAATTTGAAGTTTATGTGTGTGGCTGAGGTTAAACTTTGGATGCAACAAAACACTTTGTAGTTAAACATTAATAACTCTGAGGTTCTACTTAATGGATTGTCAAAGATTGTTTTATAAAAACTCCAGAATGTGTTCAAAATCTAATTCTCATTCTGCAGAACACACAAATCCTTAAAATCCTTTTGACAGGTTTCTCTTAGAGTTTTAGGATACACTTCTGGGTATTAATCTTAATTTTAAGGTAATAAAGTGGGCCTTTCCCCATCATATTTCTAACCTCCTAATAAATTAAAATCCTAACTGTGTTCTTCATTTTTTGACGATGGTTTCTTGTTTGTATCCTCAGATTACAAACTAAGAGTGATAGGGCTTTCTCCTATCAAGTGCTGTGGAACACTGTCCTCTATGAGATCATTAAGTCAGTTTTCTCATATCTCACCTTAAAATTGTCTATTGATGTATTGTGTATTTTTGTTTACATTTTATATTTTCTTTTTTTTGTATAGCACTTTTGAGATTTATTATGAGAGCTTTACAAGATGAATTTTAGTTACCTTAAGTGCAAAGAAGTAATAACCTTTTTCATTTGCTGAATGTCATAAATTTTCTTTCTTTCCACAAGGGGTTTATAAGTCACTTAATTTATGTCCATAAATACAGTAGATCAAACTTTGAGCTGTGAATGCAGGACCTTGAACTGAGTCCAGAATTCAATATGAAAGATGAGCAATTCTGATCTTGAACTAAACGAATGCAAATGAATTTAAATGGTGTCATTCAAACATATAAAAATCTGAACACGTGAATATGTGAATGCACACATGTAGTCTAAATGGCAATATGCTGGGTTACATTAACAAAGTAATCACAGGGTTACCTCAGCAGATCGATGTGGATTTGAAAGGCCTTGATGCGCTGGAGTCATCAATTCCTCTAATTTGAAACGAGTTAATTTATTCTGTCAATTAACACAATATACAAATTACACTGTATGTCTCGGGTGTGCTGTCTGGTTTGCATATATCTCAGGTTAAGTGGCTAAAATTACAATGCAGAAGGCAGTTTCCTTTGTTTTACATTGTTAAATATTGGCAGCCCTTGACATCTAGAGTAAGAGGTATAGAAATAAAAATCAAAAAGTAGCAAAAGTACTTAAAATAGTTGGGCCCTGCTTGTTGAAAAGCAGAAAGACTCGAGTGTTCCACTTAGACCTCAGTTATTTAAATAGTACTTGTGAATATGAACATAGGGAAAGTTATAAATGAGAAGAGGTTATGTGGCCCATCTAGTGTGTTTGACTGAGTGTAGTGTGTAGTATTCTTGTGCATGTGTTTCCTACATCTGTCTTGATGATACGTGTGGGCTTGCTGTCTGTGTGTGGGGAGCCTTCGGAGCCTGCAACCTACTTCTTTCAAGTCATTCCTCTCTCCCACTGACAGTATAGCGTCTAGTTAAGGATTTTCCTTGGAAATGGATTGAGTTGTGGAAAGGATGGTGATCCTTAAATAAAATGTGACTGTCCTTAATAAGATCCAATTACAATATCTCAATAATACAACGTTTTGAAAATCATTTTTGTGTTGACCCTCCCTCAAATGCTATGCAAAATGTAAGACTAGACGGAAGTGCGAGTTTTGATAAATCGATCTATGTGATATGAACCAAAGAAAATTCCAATTTACACATCTCTGTTTGTCATCGTTACCTCCATTTAACTACTTTTGTGATATTCTTCTTTTCAGGTTAATTTAATTTAACAACAATGTATGGTCCGTAACTTAATTTAACACTATATCTTCATTATCAAAGGCTGGCTTGGCGACATGGTTTTTAGCACTCCAGGTCTTGGGTCCTGTGTTTGGTTCTAGCAACTAGTTGTGTTGTCTTTGTGAAATTAAAACAATTAGTTTTGCCAGATGCTCTGGTTTCCTCGAACAGTTTAGATATATTATATAGGTCGGCATCTCTAAATAGTCCTCCATGCGTGTGTCCTGTGACACAATATTCTCTATTGTTTCTGCAATTCCAAGACCACATTGTTAAACAGATGGGTGTTTATCTTTTTAGTAATAGATAAATCTAGTTTTCTCAAAAAAAATGATAGCATAGGCATCTGAGATGTGAGAAGCATTATAAAGGGATGTTGAAGAAATCTTATTAAATTAAAAGAAATCCACCCGGAGCCTTTCGTTAGAATTTGGCATGAATCTAAATCCTTTGTCATTCCCAAACACATGTATGCAAAAACTACTAAGCAGGTCTGGAGCAGTGCGATAGGGAAACATGAACAGGTGTTTGTCCTTAATGAACAGGCAGAGGAGAAAATAAAGTGGGTGAGAACATAAACAAGTTTGTAGTGTAGAACGCTTTGCTAGCTCTGAGTCATTTGGCTGTTCTTTACCATTCTGAGAGCTCTCCTATCTCTCTTTATCACTGTCCTCCTTTCTCAGCATTAATATCATCCTCACCTTTACACCTCCACAGGCAGGAGAAGGCCCAGCAAATGTCAGTTACAGGCAGCCAGTCTGCCATTTACTTTTCTGTATTAGGGGTCCTGCTAAAAGTATTTTTTCTAAGTAAAAGGAAAATCTGTGAACTGCATGAGTTATTTTGGCTACCTGAGAGTGATTTCTCTTATTTACTACGCTTTTACAAATAAATGTGAGTCCCATGTGATTTCACACTCTGTGTTTTTGGGACGCTGTAAGCAGTGGGTTCCATTGAATGATAAATGACTATATATTTTCTTGTTTTTGTCTGGAAAGCATTATTTTGTTTTCTTCATTGTCCAGAGTTTTCATTTTGTGGCACATAACTGATTATCAACAGCAACATCTCTCACCAAAAGTCGTAATTTAGAGGAAGTATCTAACCTAAAATGCTCTTATTAATGATACTTCACAAGGAGTATTACAGTGTATTTTTAGACATATTATTCTATGGTTGTTTCCATCCTACTCTTTCAGTCCTCTTGTCCTGGTGTGGGTCATGGTCTACTGTTGATTATTTCACAGTACTTCAGAAAGGTTTCCATTTAAACCTAGGAAAAACAGCTACTAATAATGTTCTCTGAAAGAGAAGAGATGCTTTGCTAACAAGATGATTTCTTCCAAAGTATTTATTGAAAAAAATAAAGTGACTAGAAAACAGCCTAGTTTTTTTAACTTTCCTATTTCATTTTAAGTCCATTTAGAAATATTTAGCAGTAGTCCATAATAAAATTAAATATTTTTTAATGTTTTTACAAAGTATCAGAAGCCACAATCGAAAATTTGAACGAAATTATATTGTGCTTTGCTATAATACAATACTGTATATTATGAATGACAAAATATATAATTTTTTGATCCAAGAGATTATGATTCTTATTTTTTATTTTTTGAAAATTATTCAAACTCTTAGCATCCTTTAAAGCTTGGCTGTTTTTTTCACAGCTGTGCATGACTTTTAAAGTATGAAAACTCCAAATAAGGCGTTTGCTGTTTCAGGAGTCAGAAAGAAAAGTCATGCCTTCATTAAAAGTATATTATCCTTAAAAGAAATCAAGGTTTTCGAAAGCTGCCTTCATGGATAATGTAACAGAATCTGGGATAAAGTAACTGTACTGTGTATATAGTGTGTGTAAGTCGTGCTGCTTCCTTATACATGAACTATAACAATTCATTATTATTAGACATGCTGGATTTTCACTCATTGATTTTAGTGAACCGAATTACAGATAATTTAATTATAGCAGAGCTTGCACATACTGTATATTGTACATACCTGTAAACACAGTATATACTTTAGATGAAAAACAAAACATGCAACGACTGACAATTTATAAATTACATCATGTTGTCAAGTTCTAATCAGTTTATACCAGGACAATGCAATTACAGCTTCTGTTTAACAAATCTTGTTAGCTTCTGACTCAGCACGTCAATTCACTTAAAGTCTGAACTTGGCACTTTCAATGCTGAAAAACTGGCACACAGCCTGTTATCCTGCATCACTGAGGTTAGTTTTAATTCAGCACTGAGAATGGTTATTGAAGCTCTTACTGTATTAATTGTTAGAATTTCAACTTGAGGGCTAATGCAAGTGACACAAAGTACTGTATAGTTAACGTTTAGTCCTTGTTACTAATTGGATTAGACAGGCTGGAAGTTAGTTAGGTTTAAGGTAAAGGAGATAGAGAGGCCTGTCATTTGCAAACAGGAGTTCAGTTATTGCAATGTTATTGTGTTCAAACAGACAGAGCTGTCATTCTGTCAAAGGAAAATAAAACAAATACACCGCATTTGAGAATCAGTGCTTAATAAAAAAACGTGCAGAAACACAGTACAATAAAGGCTATTTTAGCTTTATCAGTGTAAAAAATGTCAGGAAAAGGACTAGCAGAAATTAAATGCATTTCCATTCAATTCAAAGAGATTAAAAGCCCTTTTTGGAAATGAAGTCTAAGTTATATCATTTTTATATTTCACAGAAGAAGCAATGGTGATAGACATTACAATTTGTTGCGCCAGACCATGCCAAAAGGAAGGAGACAGGCAGTCCGAGGACCAGCATACATGTTTAATGCCCGTGCCAGCAGTCTCTCAGCAGAGGAAGAGAGGTTCCTGGATGCGGCGGAGTACGGTAATATCCCTGTGGTCCGGAAGATGCTGGAAGAGTTACCTGGACTTAATGTTAACTGCGTGGACTATATGGGTCAAAATGCCCTGCAGTTAGCTGTTGCCAATGAGCACCTTGAAGTCACGGAGCTACTGCTTAAAAAGGATAATCTGGCTCGGATTGGGGATGCCCTCCTATTGGCAATTAGCAAGGGCTATGTGAGGATTGTGGAAGCCATCCTGAGCCATAAAGCGTTTTTCAATGCTAAAAGGCTGACCACCAGCCCCAGCCAATCGGAGATACAGCACGATGACTTTTTCGCCTATGACGAGGACGGCACGCGGTTTTCTCATGATGTCACCCCGATTATCTTGGCTTCACATTGTTACGAGTACGAAATTGTGCACATACTGTTGGCAAAGGGAGCCCGCATTGAAAGGCCACATGACTATTTCTGCAAATGTACCACATGCAGCGACAACCAGAAACATGACTCCTTCAGCCATTCAAGGTCCCGGATCAATGCCTACAAAGGGCTGGCCAGCCCCGCTTATCTGTCCCTGTCCAGTGAAGACCCTGTGCTCTGTGCTTTGGAGCTGAGCAATGAGCTGGCTGTACTGGCAAACATTGAAAAGGAGTTTAAGGTAGGTGATGCTTTCAAGTTTTGAGTGATAACATAACTATAGTCTTGGGTCCAGTTCTGCACTTGTTCATAAATTCTTGCCTGAAGCATTGGATCTTGAAACAGCTTCCTCAAGCTGAAATATTGAGGTGTAAAATGTCTTAGTCTTGTGTACTATTTCTGTGTCCTTTTAGTGCCATTAGAGATACTGTTCACAATAAATATGATTTAGAGATAGACGGGATGCAGCTCTGTAGAAACATTTGATAAAGATCTCATACTCAGTTTTTCCAGGAAGCAATTAACATACCAAGCAGATTTTGTTTGCACCAGAGCAATTTCATTTTAGCAGGCAGATCACAACTTAAAGTACCCAAAGGATTTTAAGTCATTCGGATAATGATCAAATTATAAAATCATAGTAAAGGAATAAAACCCTGAAATCCCCGCAATAAAAGTCCATGACATTGGACATATATAAACAGATCTATTTTAAACCTACTTCCTAAGTGGGCCGCACAAAAATTGTTATTCATACTTCATCTAGCAAAATTGCAAAAAAACACAAATTATCAATAATAATGATAGTATGAATATGATAATGAATATTGATAATCAATAATATTGATAATTTCTGCCAATATAATTTCTAAATATATAATCTAAGAAGGGTTGATGTGTAACATGTTTAGAAACCATTTTAGTTTTTTTGTCTGGAGTTTGACAACACTGAGCCCAAACAGTTGTATTTGTTAAGTAACTTTCCATAAGCATTGCCAGAGAAGGTTTTTAAGAAGGTTTGATTTATGTAAAGGGAGAATAAATAGAAGGAGCAATTGAAGGGGATGGCACGCATTGGGCATAGAGGAGTGAGACAGATCAGTGAGGGACAGGGTTTTTTATTCATGCAGTTTTGCACAGAGTTGATTTTCTGAAATGAAATGCATTACCAAAAAAAGCAGCTCAACATGAATTATGTGGTGTCCATGATTGAATGGCTTGTATTTTAGTCCTCTTATCTTGATTTTATTCATCTCTTAACACCAGATTCACATGGCTGACAAGGAATCTATATTGAAAAAACTACAGCAGGCACTTTATTTGCTTTGACTCGGGGGTAAAGTGCTTTTTTTCTGATTGAACAGTATCACATCAATCAAAAACAGAATTTATTTTGGTGTGTGGGTTATATATATATATATGCAATACAAAACTATATGTTTATTCTTCTGTTTTGTTCTGTCAGCAAAACATCTTGGGTTTTCCTTGACAAGTACTTGCATTAAGGTGATGGAGAGCAATAGTTTATGTGTGTATACTGTGTATATACCTATATATTGGATATAACACTGGGATAGGAATGCTACTGTTGTGTTGGGTTAGGGTTATATATCTTGTTCAATGTTAAGTTCCAATTTTTACACTTTAATAACTAGTAATACAGACATTTCAGATAAAAATTTCCTTGCAGGAAAATGAGATTAGAAATATCCAGCTGAACTGCTTTGTAGTGTGAAGATACTTTTAGATGGAATGTAAATGTCTTTTTTGAAGAAAAAAAAACATATTGCTGAACATGTACATAAATTATAGGACTTTGAGGATTTCATGTTTTCCTCAAAGAATCCAAAAACTACTTTTTTTTTCTACAAAAACAGCAGAAGGATATTAATGGGGAAAAAGTTCAAATGACTAGAAAAAAATCAGAAAAGAATTGTATAGAGTACAGACAACATTACACAACACATACATGACATTCCAAACTATACTAAAGGTATATTTTTTTGATCTTTCATTTGATCAATTATATTTTCAGTTGATTTGGGTATGAATAATATTTAGTGGACCCATTAACACAGGGAACCCATTGACACAGTTCAACCTTCCAACATTTTTACAGACATTGTTGTGGAATTCAGAGACCAAATTCAGATTCTCCAAGGCTCTGGGGGACTGAATAGTGTATGGAAGTACTATTTGGTCTGTCTGTGTTTAAAATTGTGAAGCTCCCTGTGTGATAAGAAAAAATAATGTTCTAAGGTTAAATGAAAACTGTTTTTAATAGGGTACATTAAATGTATTATAATTTTCATGCATTTTTTTAGTTTGCTTTAAAGTGTAGCTTTTCTTTAATTGTTACAAGCATTCTCAGCCTATGAAAACATGTGAAACCTTTTTCTGTTCATTTTAGGACAGCAGTAAGTGAATTCTAATTGTAAAATAATCTGTTTTTCTCCAAGAATGATTATAAAAAATTATCTATGCAATGCAAAGATTATGTGGTGGGACTTCTGGACCTATGTCGAAATACAGAGGAGGTTGAAGCCATTTTGAACGGGGATGTTGACTTGAACCCATCCAGTGAGCAACATGGCCGCCCCAACCTCATACGGCTAAAACTTGCCATTAAATATGAGCTTAAAAAGGTGAGTACATAAGTTAAGGAGCACCGACACAGCAACTACATAAGATAGTTTAAAGTTAAAGTAAAAGCATATGCAATAACACCAGATAGAATTATTGATATAATTCACTGTTGGCGGCGTGATGTTGTAGTGCTTAGTTTTGCTGTAGTGCAGTACTGGGGCCCTGGTTTCAATTCTGGACCTGGGATGTTGTCTGTATGGAGTTTCTATATCCTGTTTTGGGTGTTCCTCCTACGATCTAAAAATATAGTGGTAGGCTAACTGATTTCTGTGAATAAAGATAAAAAAAAGATTTACTCTGGTGTGAGCACACTTGTGTTTGACGTCCCATCTAGGGCATACCCCACCTTGCCCCACACAAAGACACACCGGAAGGACAAGAAAAGCACAGGGAAACTAGGAACAGGACAGAGCAGGAGTGTCCCCTAGATGTGGAGGGCGTGACAGTACCCCCCCCTTCAAAGGCGGCTCCTGACACCCAAAAAATAAATGAGCTGCACATCACTGGGGGGAGGAAAAACCTCATTTAACTGAAAGGAAACCTCTGGGAGTCCATGGCTGAGAGCTACCCCTTCCTCCAGGGTAAAAACCTTTATTGTGTAGAGAAAGGGGGGGGCCGGGCGGGGTTCTGGGGGAGCGTGACAAAAAAACAGACAAAACATGTAAAAAAGCACCCACAACAAAAAATAAACCTGGGAGACCAGGGCAAAAAAAAACACACGTAAAAAAGACTCACAACAGATATGAACCAAGAGTCCAGGGAAACAGGGATCAGGGAGACGGGAACACAGAAACCTGGAAGTACGGAAACCAAACACCAGGAGTAAAAGAAAAAGTAACAACAAAAAACCCGGGAACAAAAAAGAGAAAAACACCGCTCGCTGGGGCAAAAATTAACTCAACATTCTGTCATGGATGCCGGGAGTAACTTCCCGTGGAAAGCCAGATATTCGTACGAGGATGTCAGGAAGGCATGCCACTGAATGACCTGCTCACTAGAATAGGAGAACTGAAAAAAGCCCATAGCGATGCGGGAAAACAAAAATAGAAAAAATGCCGCTCCCAGGGTAAAAAAATGGCTCAGCATTCTGTCACGGATGTTGGAAGGGCATGCCTGGAATGACCAGGAGACCAGTAGAGACCCTTTGCGTAGCAGCAACACGGAGGTTAGCCCAGGCTCACGGGGTCAGACGATGTCAGATAGAAACCTATGCCCTCAGGCAGCGGAAGAGACGACCTGGTGCTAGGCGGGTCTCAAGACATCCGGACACTCAATGCTGAGCCAGGAGTAAAGGGAGACCCGGAAATATATAGGCCCACACAAAGACACGTTGGAAGAAAAAGAAAAGCACAGGGAAACTAGGAACAGGACAGAGAAGGAGCGCCCTCTAGATGTAGAGGGTGTGACAGCTCTGGCTTCCCTGCAACCCTTAATAGGATGATGCTGTTAGAAAATGGATGATTAATTGTCATCTGTTTGAATTAAAAAAGTTCTTCATACAATACTTCAGTCAAAGGGTAAAACCTTCCACTATGCTGGTATAATGGCAATCTGACTGGCACTAAATCAATCTCTTTTCCATCTTCTAAAAAGGCACATTGCCATGCTTTGCTCCTTCAGGTTGTCATCATTAGGATTAACCTCTTAGCTAACATCTTGAAACCCAAAGGAGTGATGTTTACTGTTGCTTGGAATAAATCCAAATCTTTCTCAGTTTAGGAGAGCAATTAATTTTAGATTAAGGCAGTAATACTGAATTTTTGACAATACTGGATTTTTAAGTGAAAATGATGGTTTAGGAAGGTAGCCTCAAAAATATCAATACTAGTCTTGCTTTTATGTAGTGTCCACAGCATACAAACATAATAAAGGTTTCAAATGAAATGGATGCCATCTAGGATTTGTAGTTAGTAGCTAATTCCAAAGATCCAAAGATCTCATCCTTCATTTCTTGAATGAATGAATGTTTATTTTCAATGTTTCAGCATGGTATGAACATATTGTGATGGGGTAGACAGCACATTTTGTAATTTTGGTTTTAATTTCCTCTGTTTGGTTATGTCACCAGACCAGGTGTCGTCACTTCCAAAAAGAAAACCACCTTGCTGTACAAATGTACAAATGGCGACTACAAAGTCAAGGATTTCACAGTTTCAGAAATAACATTAAAACAACTACAATAAGCTCAAAGAAACTGAATTGTATTCAAAGCGTTTTCTGGTACGAAAGAAGATTTCTCCAGATTCTGCTTTTAATGTAGAGTCATCATCAATAGCCACAGGTGCTGCAGTGGGTTCATACAATGTCAATAACATGTCTGTTTTCACCCATGTTCTTTCTGTGTAGTTTGTCGCCCATCCCAACTGTCAGCAGCAGCTCCTCTCCATCTGGTATGAGAACCTCTCAGGGCTGCGTCAGCAGAAGACGGCTGTGAAATTCCTCGTGGTTCTCGGTGTGGCCATTGGGCTGCCTTTCCTGGCTATGATTTACTGGATAAGCCCCTGTAGCAAGGTCAGCTTGCTCCCACACAAACTGATTTAGTGCACTCACTGTCTCCCTATACACACAGCACATCAATACAGGATCAGCATTTGTTTAAACAGTTTCACTTTGTTTTTCTTAATGTCTTCTCTGGTAACCATTCAATTGTTATAATAATAGAAAGATCAAGTTCCTTATCTGAACCTTTTACTGTCATCATGGATGCTCACACCCATCAGTGATCAAAAAAATATTTTTATTAATGATGGACTTACATGCCATGTGAGAAGTGCTGAGGACTGATGCTTATTATTATAAAGGCCAATATCAGGTGGTTTATTGCTTCACATTTATTTTTTGCAGCTGGGGAAAATCATGCGTGGTCCCTTTATGAAATTTGTGGCACATGCTGCTTCTTTTACCATTTTCCTTGGCCTTCTTGTCCTGAATGCTTCAGACCGGTTTGAGGGGGCTGCACCACCATCAAACAAGAGCAATACTGACAATCAGCTCTACAGAATGCAAACAACCATTTTCACCTGGATGGAGATGCTCATCATTTCCTGGGTCATCGGTGAGCAAATGACTTTGGTCAACAATTGTTACAGCATTTCACACTGCCGGCTTTACTTAAACCTAGGCGTCACCCATTCTGCAGGGAGTGCTGCAGGGGAAACTGTTGTCCCAGCTTTTTTGGATGGTAGCAAACCTACTGTCACTACTGACAAAGAAGTAAGAGTAGCCAATTAACCTCTACCTGCATGTCTTAGAGAAGAAATGAAAAATTATGTGGAGAAAACTTGAATTTTAAGGGAGCATGTAAAGTCATGTTCGGAACGTGAAAATGCTAACATTAAACATTTATTACTTCTCTAGCACTTTGATCTTTAACTTAAAAAACGATCAGGTTTAATGTAGTTTGCAATAAGCCTTCTAGAGTCTTCAAGAATTGACAGGCTGTTTATTTATATGGGGAAGATCAATAATATTGCAAGAGAGCATCTGAAATGTAACCACATAAAAAATCAAAGGTGTGTGTTATTGAGAGTGTGGAGGTATAAGTACAGAATTTAATTTGGAAAATTTTAAACAGAATTTAATGTGTTTGATGCACAAGCAGCTTACATGGAAGGTGGTAATAGTTTTTGTTTTGAAGTCATTGAGCTCAGTGATATATTAGGTTTATTGTTTTTTGGACATACTTATGGGGATGAACAAAAAGCATTAAAATCCCAAGACACATATTTTGTACTGGTTCACTACTGGATTTATTTAGCCTGAGTTAATTATATAAGAAAACATCTTTATATTCTGATTTTTTTCCTTCATCATTAAAATGAAGTTCCCACACAGCAGTATTTAGATAACCTTCTCAAAGGTCAAGGACATGCTGAGTTTTAGTCTGTACAGTTTGCATTCCTATCCACCATCTTTGACAGGGCGTCTTTTAGTGGTTTGGTTCTTAAGTGCTTTGAGAAATCACTTATTCAGTTATCTAAACAGAAACTGGCAAGACTGATATAGATTGAAATAGGTTTCATATTAATTTGAAGTGTTCACACTGATTTTAAAAAGTGCAATTTATTTCTTCTTCATGCCAACAAAATCTCTGCTTTAAACATTTACTGTATAATTTGAGCAACAGAGAACAAATAAAAATTTCTTAAATGCAACATTTTCTAAAAAAATAGCCATTTTCTACAATTTCATCTGTGATCTGAGGTCTCAGGTGTCAGGTCTCTCAGGTCTGTAAAACTGTACTTTTATTAATATCTTGAATAGCCCATTGAACAGTAATCAATTGAAGGGTGCTGATGTGAAATTGTGTTAAATTTTATCATGCTGTGTTTCTACCCTTTTTTAACACCTGATACTGTGGAATGTTTAAATCTTTACATTTCATTTGCAACAATTGTTCTCTTGCTGTACTTAGATGACAAAATATGAGCAACAAATTTACAGTTGAACTGCAAGCTGATAACATGAAAAAAAGGTGTTCAGTTACCCTTGACGAATACACTTGGCTGACAGAAAGTCAGCTGTTTTGTGCAAAGGTCTCATGCACGATGCACATTTACTTTTTAAAGCAAGATAAAGAAAAAGTTAAACTTTTTTTTTTCAAGTTACTGCATAATCTCCTTTAAAAGGAGTGCTTCTCCGTTCAAGGTTCTGTTTTCAGAACTGGAAGTGTGAAGAATGCGAGTTCACAATGGGGGCGGAAGTCTTTAAGTCATAAGCCTTTATTTCCTGTAACAGTCCTGTCATAACACTTTACTATAAATAACACAGTGGCGCTGTTCTGTTTTTCTTGCAGGGATGATATGGGCAGAATGCAAGGAGATCTGGTCACAGGGCCCACGTGAATACCTGCTAGAGCCCTGGAACTTACTGGACTTTGGAATGCTGGCCATCTTTGTGGCATCATTCATCGCAAGGTTCATGGCCTATTGGCATGCATATAGGGCGCAGTGTTATATCAACATGAACAATGTCAAGAATCTGACAAATGCATCTCTGCCCTATGAGATAAAATACTACACATTTTGTAAGTATGAACAATACTGCATTCAACCATCCTCAAACTCCAGATGAATTAATTCAATAAGAATACAGTCTCACATCCCTGGAAAGCAAAAACTTAGTGACACCCCAAAAAGGAACCTTTAGTAAACCTTTTTACCATTTTTTTACATTAAAAATGAAAACAGAAGACAAAGGGCACATTTTAGATAGACTTAAAATTAGATTAAATACTAGTGGTTAAATACTAAAAACCCAAAATGCTACAAAAAATGGTAGTCTCTCATATTCCAATAATTTACAATATGTTTAGTTTTCTTGTCCCACCACTATAGGGAATGAATTTGATATCCTGGGTCAGTGATGTAACAGAGCTTAATTTGTCTTAGGTCTTTTATACTTGCATTTATTAATGGTGACTTTACTTCAGTTAATAGACACTTGTTTTGCAGTTACTTAATTTTTATGTCTTGTGTGACTAAATTAATTACTAAAAAATGACTCATTTTAATTAAACAGATATTATTTTCTTTTTTATGTATTTCAGATCGTAAATATTGGCTTCCCTCTGACCCACAGCTCATTTCTGAAGGCCTCTATGCCATTGCAGTGGTCTTAAGCTTCTCCAGAATTGCATATATCCTGCCTGCCAATGAGAGTTTCGGCCCCTTACAGATCTCTCTGGGAAGGACGGTGAAAGATATCTTTAAATTCATGGTGATTTTTATCCTGGTTTTTTTGGCCTTCATGATTGGAATGTTTAATCTCTACTCACACTACTTTACAGAAAAACAGAATAAAGCCTTTACCACGTAAGTATACATAATCCAAAACACATATGATTGTATGGATAAGAAAAAAATAGAGTACCAACCGAGATATTCTGTAACATATACAGTAATGACATCAAGTGAGGAATGTACAGTTCAACATTACTGAAAATAATTTAACTGATAATGCAATTTATTTTATTATTTTTAATAAGAGTAATTTTTAATCAATCATATAAAAAAGCATCTCTATTAAAAATGTAAATTTTTCCACAGTTGATTTTGTTCCTATCCAATGATTAAGCTGTCATTTCGGTGGCTTCTCAATAGATGCTGATGTCCATGACAGAGTAACAGATACATTTAAACAAGTTTCTTAAAAAATAGAATTAACAAGTAAACTGCACAGCCTTTTACTTACAGTAGACACAGAGGCATCTAATCTATTTATGTTGCCTTTTGCAGCATATTCAAGTATTTAGATAAAAACTTTCCAATTCATGGACAATGGAATAATTAATTTAATATGCTAGACCCAAGAATATATATATGCAAGTATATCGAGAGGATCAGGAAGTTTACACCTGATATTAAACTTTGTAGTTTTTAAAAACTTTTACAATACAGTATGTCACAGTTTGTGCCAAAAACATATTAGGATTCTTTGTTCTGTGTTTTGGCCACGTTGTGATTTTGTTTTATATATTTAAATTATGTGATCAAATCCATTTTGACCTGAGCGTTACATATTTTTTGTGCACCATCACGGGCTAAATAAAAAAGGTGCAGGACTATCTCGTTTGTGAATTTTAGCTGTTGAATTTCAATTAAAAGCAAATATAAATGATGCAGTTATCTCTGGCAGTGACGCTGGATTTACAAATCCATAAATTAAAAAAAAAAACGTTTCTTCCACCAAATACAAATCTGCTGAATTCAAGAGTGAATGAACTTATACTGGACATGCAAACGCATTCTTTAAATATAGGAAATCAATTAAATGTGAGTGAAACTGTTGGGTCAGACATTAGTGTGCTTATCCAGGTTAAAAGTTCATCATGTCAATTTGCATATAGATCACAGTGATCACAAACCTTTGTGCACACTTGGAGATAAGGAAAAATACATTTAATTCGAATGACAACAATGGTGTCTTCTGTTTAATTTCATTGGTCCAATGCATGATAAAACATATGTAATCTATTTTCAATTATCATAGATTCCTTCCTAGAAATGCATTATGAATAACTAATTGGTTATTAGTTTGAAACTTTTTTAATTTCCCTGATAGGATAGAAAAATACATTATACAATATATAGGAGTTTTGCATTATGTTAGTGTGTATAAAACAATATGTTATATTCTGCGATCAGTGAAATCTAGTTTTATAATATCAACAGAACAGCCAGACCTTAACATGGTCTTTACTGGACTGTGTTTAGTCAAAACAAGTTTTGGAATGCTTTTAAGTAGAAAATAAAGGCAATCTTTAATGGTCAAATATTAAGAGTAATTTGTAAAATGTTTGAGGTTTTGAATATATTTACAAATGAGTAATTATTTCACCTGAATCTAAAATATGTATGACTATGAAATTAATCTTAGGTCAGCTGTCACCCTAATCTTTCAACTTATTTGGATTCTGATATATGATGTGGTAGGAATGTAGGAAACTATACAGTATTTTACTAAATTATGTGGGTATTTTTCTTTTGAGTATTCTGAGTGTAATTAAAGTATTGATACTTTATATCAAAGTTACAGTGCAACAGTAAAAAAGAAACATCAGGGAATGAATGAAATTGATACTGTGTTGCACTGTGTAGTTCTTCTCCACTGAATGTCAGAGGTGGTCATATATCAGAGATTTCATCAGGTGTGCATTATGTTTTAATAGCAAATTGTTGAGCTTGCTAATAGGCACCCTGTGTTATAAAAGATTACCTGTCTGTGAAAAAAGTCCCCTCTAGTAGTTTGGTCTGGTGATAATGGGTTACTACATAATTTGTTTTGCACTCTGGATCAATAATAGAATGTATTTTTGCTGAGCTTGGAAATGAAAGGAATCACCATTGAGATGGTTTACCTGTAAACTGTGTATTACTTCAAAACTGTTTGCAATATCTTCAAAATGATGCTACAAAATAGCCATTCTTAAGATTAGATGATTGCAATGCTGTTTTATTTTGTTGCTTCATGGGGAAGCTGTGACACATATGCAGAATGTTCTCTCCTTATTGCTATGGAGTTTTGTCTATTTTGGATTATTTTGATGTTAAATGCATTACTCACATTACTGTAAATACTCTACCAGCAAAAAATACTGTTCAGTGTTGACTCCCTGCTTATGTTCCCAAGACTTGTGTAACTAGTTCTGAGGATTCTGAACATAAGAACTAGAGGTGTTGTGACATTTGTACAGAGTGCTGAATTATTTCTGTGAGCCTCTTGTATAATACGCAATTAAAGTATCATTTACATGTTCAGATTCAGTTCAGTTTGAGTTGTGCCATTAACTTCACCTTTCACTTTTACAGGTTTCTGTATGCATTCAATTCTTGCTTGTGTTTGAGGTATGACCGACTGCTTTTAGATACTTACAATAGACATCATGGGAATTATCTTAAAATAGTTTTAAAGGACTCTTCAACTGATAGCGTTGAATTTTAGCAGGGCTTCAAACAGACCAAGAGTAGCAGAGGGCTACCCAATGTCCTGTGTGGACAAGATGGCTGGATTTTATTTCCCTTCCCGTGGTGAGACAGTCCGTGATTCCTCCACTGGGAAGGTGGGGGCTGAAAAAGCCCCCACCTTCCCAGTGGGGAATCTGAGGATGGCTTGGCTGGACAACAAGTGGGTGGGTCCGTGCAAGGGCGTTGAAGTGGGAAAGGAGACCAGGAGAGAAAAATTCCCATTGTCAAAGCGCACTTTGACGGACGGGCCCCTCTAAGGAAGAAGACCCCCAGAGCTCGATAGTCCCAGCTCCAGCTGATGAAGACCAGGCCTTCATTGTCGACTTACGCCAGCTGCTCACTGCGTACTTTGGTCCTTCCCAGATCCCTTCTGCTCCCACGTCCTCAGAAGACAGTCAGTCCAACTCCAGGACTTCAAAGTCTCTCTCAGGGATGAGGAACATGGTGGTGGGGGGGGAGTGAAGTGATCCAATCCCCCCCACTGTTGGGCTGTCCCCACGATCTCTACCCTTATACCCCAGGTTCACCCCCTTTTTTTCCCCTCTATCCCCACTTTTTAGCTTTTCCCACTTCTGCGTACGGGGGACGTGTGCTTTCTGTCTGCTTTCCTAGCTTTACCTGCTCCATGACTAGTGGGAAAAGGGGCGATAGAACAGTGTTATTGATACTCCAGTTTCTTTGTCGGCAGCGTGGGGAATGACTGGCTGGAGAGGACCGTACAGAATCACTGACAGTTTTATTGCCTGTTTCATTATTTAGTAGTGTATGTGTGCTAATCACAGAGGCAGAGAGAGCAAGTGCAGGCTTCTTCTGGTTGCTGTAGGTTTATGATTACTGTTGTTTCTTTTAGTTAATAATAATTATAATTATATAGCGATTTTCTGGACACTCCACTCAAAGCGCTTTACAGGTAATGGGGACTCCCCTCTACCACCACCAATGTGCAGCATCCACCTGGACAGCCATAGTGCGCCGTCACATCACCACACACCAGCTCTCAGTGGGGAGGAGAGCAGAGTAATGTAGCCAATTCATAGATGGGGATTATTAGGAGGCCATGATTGATAAAGGCTGATGGGAAATTTGGCCAGGACGCCGGGGTACACCCCTACTCTTTTCGAGAAACACCCTGGGATTTTTAATGACCACAGAGAGTCAGGACCTCGGTTTTACATCTCATTCGAAGGACGGCGCCTGTTTACAGTATAGTGTCCCTGTCACTACACTGGGGCATTAGGACCCACATGAGTAGTAGCGCCCCCTGCTGGCCCCACTAACACCTCTTCCAGCAGCAACCTTAGTTTTTCCCAGGTCTCTCATCCAGGTACTGACCAAGCTCACACCTGCTTAGCTTCAGTGGGTTGCCAGTTGTGAGTTGCAGGGTGATATGGCTCCTGGCTATAGTTGATAAATGTTATATTAAATTAACTTAAAGACAATGCATTAGTACTTTAATGATCATATGAGGGAGGGTTACTTACTGTATGTCTTTTAACCATACATGCTATATACTATAGTACATTATGCAATTTAGTTATATAATAACTTTATATATAACTTATATAACTTGGTTATATGTGAATTTGGATATTCTAAGCAGTCCCTACTTGAATCTGTTATTGTATCTGTCTGACATGTATCTGTCGTTGAAAATAGACACCAACACACTTTGTCACTACTCTTCTGTGTGAAATCCAAGATAAGATAAGATCACTTTATTGGCCATATACAATTTCTTGTATTAAGAATTTTTCCTTTCACATACTCCAGCTAGCTCTCCATGAGACACACAGACAGGAAGAGAAGCTTGGGGTCAGAGCGCAGGGTGAGCCATTTATACGGCGCCCCTGGAGCAGTTGGGGTTAAGGGCCTTGCTCAGGGGCCCAACAGAGTAGGATTCCTCTGCTCGCTGCAGAATACAAACCAGCAACCTTCCAGCCACAGGCGGAAGCTACAGAGCCACCACACCGATGGTTGTTATTTCGTAGTACTGTATAGGTTATACTTCAGTTTCACAACATCTGAGTTAACTGAGGTGTTTAACTTAATCTACAGAACCTCTTTGAGTGGCTCATAGAAAGAAGGGAAATTATGATGTTGATATTCTGGCCACAAATGCACCATTTGTGACATTTATTTTTTCTGTCGCTTTAAAATATCAATTCAGTTGAAAAAATAACCAGAAAATAGAAAAATAAACAGAGGACAGCTTCTGGCACTGAATCACTTTAAATGGATTTACTGTATGTTTTTGTAGTGGCTACATTTTTGATACAAAGTTATGATACTAAATATTTAACATAACTTATGATTCAAACTATTTATACTAATTTATATTAACTGAAATAACCACATCCAGAGTGCACATATATCAAAGTCATTAATATGTCAACTATGAATAATATCTGTATTTAGCAATGATTTGTTTGTTGGTTTTTTAAGGGTCTTTAAAATTATTAGATTCTGTTTTCTTTTTGTCTTTCTGTTGCAGAATTGAAGAAAGCTTTAAAACATTATTTTGGGCCATATTTGGACTATCTGAAGTGAAAACGGTTGTTATTGGTAATGATCACAAGTTCATAGAAAACATTGGCTATGTCCTGTATGGAGTATACAATGTGACCATGGTCATTGTGCTGCTGAACATGCTGATAGCCATGATCAACAACTCCTTTCAGGAAATTGAGGTAAAAGCACAACTTATTCTATCTGTCTTATAAAGTATATATACGATGGTCAATCTTAAAAGCTCGGATGAAGAGAGTTCAGAAGTTTTCATTCCATCACTAATTCAGCTGAGAAAACAAAACTGGGCTTGTCACAAAGAATTTTGCGGTCTTCACTGTGACAAAAAACAGTGAAGCTCAAAACATCTAAGGAAAGCAAAATCCAAATTATTTTCTTAATTGTCTATAAAGAGTAAAATGTTTAACATAGCTATTATCTGTAAATGTGGCTGATTGGATACAATTCAATATGTGTGGCATTGAGCAGAATCTTTCTTCGTATCACATTAAAAGACAACCATTGTCAGCCTTTGCTTTCTCTCTTATGAATGTAAAAATCACTCAATGTGCTGTATGATTCCTGCTGTCTGTTCCCTGATTGTTGAATGCTCGGATGTCCTGCATTGACCTTTTTGGTGTCGTGCCTGAGTAGAGCACCTTATTACACATCAGTCACATCTGTTACTAATTCATTTTGCAGTAGGTTTCTATTAATTGAACTATTTTATTTTTTATGTGATGGCATTTTTCTTTAAGGAAAGAGGAACAATGTCTGGTTTGTAAGAATGTGATTTTACCACTGAATGGTTCACAACTTAAAGTTAAATTAGATTAAGTGGTAAGAGTGTGGAACTGTTGAAGCTGATATCTTAGCTTCCTTCAAGGAAAAGCTACAGCAGATGAGATCTTTGGATCAGGTAGCTACCAGCTACTATACCAAATGGGCTATATGAGCCCAGTGGCCTCCTCTCATCTGTAACCCTTTTGTGTTCTTAAATTAATGTTTTGCAGTTTTAAATTAATGCATTAACTGATTCAGTTTTACTATGGTATCATGTCTGTTCAGCTTCATCTTTTTATTGCAAAAGAGCACCTTTTTATTGTGCAGTGTTATCGACATAACTGCTGTTATTCTTTCTCTATTCACTGCTGCAAGATTATATGCTCTTCAAAATAAATTAAAATAGAAGCAAAGGATTTTAATCTGTAGACACAAGAGCCCTAAGGACAATAGTGCAATGGACGTTTAATTAAACAATTATGCATTTACTATTTAATGGTGCTGTGGTATTCAATCATCAGCGGTATCATTTAACTGTGACATACAAGGTCGCTCTTGGAGATCATTATTTGTATATTATCTCTTTAAGTAATTGACATTAAGAGAGATGTCTCCCAAGCAACAACCCTTCTGGAATGTAATTGAAATGAAATGAAAATGGCAGCAAATTGATAACCTTTGTGTACAGGCCTTGTACAGTATTCCTCCTCACATTCCATTCCAGGCTTTCAGCTGTGCAACAGCTGAGTTAATGAGAAATATACTTTTTGCAGCTCGGTTTTGGTAGTAATATACTGTCTGAATGCAAAAGTCTGATTTCTTTTTGCAATACAATGCCCTTTCTCATAGCACTTATTTAGTTTGATGTGCTTGAATTATAAGTATAATAAACTACTCATTTTATAGTGTATTTAAGTTTTAAGTATTAAAGACAGAAAGCATAAATTGAACAATTGAAGTCCATTCCAGATAATATCACAGTACTGAATGTCACTCTATATTTCATTACAGTCCTTAATACACTTTTTTTTAAAAATCCTAAATAAAATTAGATTACAGATCATTTATGATCATTTATGATTCTTTTGCCAAATTTCACTGCAGCCAGGATATGAAGGGTACTTAAAATATTCAGTTTTCCCTGAATAAGCTTCCCTGAATAATCAGTGTTTTTCTTAGAAATACTCAAAAACCAAAATATTGCTGAAAATATAGAATATGTGAATGTAATTTCGACAATTAAAATCATCTATATTCATATTTATTTCCTGTCCTGTTTGTGGCTGATACAGGATGATGCTGATGTGGAGTGGAAATTCGCCAGAGCTAAGCTGTGGTTCTCCTATTTTGAGGAGGGGAGGACTCTGCCTGTGCCCTTTAACCTGATTCCCAGCCCCAAGTCCGTGGTCTGCCTTGTTTTGAAGATAAAGCAATTCTTAAAGGTTTTGTTGCGCATTCAGAAAACTGATACAAACGGAGATGCTGAGTTGAACGAGGTGAGTTTGCCTCTAATTAGTTGCCACTAAATTGATAGATCTGATTTACTCTAAATCCCATTGTTAAACTTAGATTGTATGTCAACTTCAGTTTTAGATTGATATTACTATTCATATGAAATATACCCAAATTACCGACAATTACTGTGATGAGTTATTTCACCCGAGAGCCAAACTAAATACTGACCATGTGACTAGTTTTAAGTTCAAGTTCAAGTTTATTGTCATTACACTCATATACATGGAATATGGTATAACGAAATGCTATTTAGCTAGCTCTTGGACATAAGTAGTACAAAGAGAAAAACAACAACAACAACAACAACAACAACACAATTGTGTAGCAAAAGAAAGACAGAGACAACAGGCAATGTGCAAAACAACAAAAAGGTAACAGGAAAACGTACTTGCAGTAATTAAATGCAGTTATTAATGTTTTTGTTCTGACTAACCCATATGAAGATAATCTTTGGAAGCTGTCTTTTCACAATCCTACCACAACCCCCAACTAGCTAATTTTCAATGAAAAAAAAAGTGATTTTAACTGTATGGCCTAGCTAGTATGACTGACAATATGATGTGGTTAAAGGCGCCACCAAGTGGCTATATGAGAAAAACGAAAAAACCCTTCTGGGAGGAAAAATGGGAGTATTGATTTAAAAAAATGATCAGATTGTTTTCAAAGTTCACGTCTCTCAAGTCCTAATATTATTTGATTTCCACCTAAAACAAACCTTTTTTTATTTCATTTATAAAAATATTTCATTTATAAAAATATTTTTATTTCATTTATATTTAACCATTTAAATGTGGTCCTTACTCTCAGTGATCATTAAAGATCCCTGGGCATTTCTCGATAAGAGTAGGGAGTTATCCCAGTGTCCAGGCCAAATTTCCCCCTTCGGCCTTACTGTAGCCTCCAACTTGTCCCCATGTTGGCTTGCACTGGCCCTGCGATGGACTGGCTCCCAGTCCAGGGTGTACCCTGCCTTGCGCTCGTTGCTTGCCGGGTAGGTTCCGGCATCCCACGACACCGTATGGTATACAGCGATTTGGTAAATGACAGGACATTTAAATGTGGGCTTTAAGGTTCAGCAGGGTCTCTGCTCTGATACGAACTGACGTCTCTTCGAGGGCAGGGTCCCTCCTTCCGCCCTGTGCTCCTAGTATAGACTCCAGCTTGCCATAGCCCTTGCTTACAGTATAATACTGGTAGATCACAATCGTACAATCAGGGTACAATTCAAATGGCTACAGAATAAAGGTGGAATGCATTAATATATGTCCTACTTCAAGTACATTTCCCTCACCATCTCAGTATTACTTTCAGTACTCGCTGTGGTTTGTATTAAAATATAGAGTACATAGTAGTTCCTTTGACCTCTTTACATATAGCAGGTTTCTAAACAGAGAATGTGCTTAACTTTCAAGTATATTGGAGGAGGGTGTTTTTCAGTACCACGTATGATTTGTGTTCTAAGTTCAAAACCGTTTTCTTTTCCCAAGTTTCCCCAAATTATTTCCTATCCAGCTTTGATTTAGACAATCAGGGCATCTAAGCAGCAAGTCTCTTACAAAACAAACTAACACCATTTCGGCTCAAGGGCACATCGGAAAATTACTTTAGAAATTGAATATATTAAAATGTCTGCATTGTTCTAGGTGGTACTATAGTACCAAAGACATTTGATAGAGTAAGTGTTAGAGTTAGAGAGATAGGATGGCAATTTTATAGTTCCATCTTTGGCACATTTCGTAGGTTAGACTTTTAACACTTGGACCAAAGTTCCTTTGAATACCTAACCCTCTTCAGAACAGATTACAGGATTTTTTGATTAGACATCCGTTATTGACAGAAACAGAAAGCTGTCGATCTTTTGAAGACTAACAGTTTTTCTTCTTGTCGTTTAATTTCTAGCTGGGCTCAGACATGCATTCAACTGTTAGAAGTTCTAACTCTCCAACACGGTACCAGGTAATATTATCTAACAGCAACAATCAACAACAGCATATGATTAAAAGCTTATCAGCTCTTGCACTGTGTTTAGAAGGTTAGGTGATTAAACCACTTACAAATCATTGAATAAAATGCATCATAGACCACAGTACAGTACAAAATTAAGCAAGCAATGTTATGAATATTAGTGGCCTGCTAAGTCTCTTGACCATTAAATAACCTATTCACTCTGTAACCTTCCTGTGAGTCCTGCCATTAAGGGTAAAGAAAAACAACAGCATTTTGTATGTTAGGCTTTGATTTGCATAAGATTATTGATGAATCAACAAATCGGGCCAATAATCGAGTCTTCTAGACCATTTCATATACTACTGATGCTTATATGTGTGATCATTTATAAATGACAATATTTTGCATTTTACAGAAGATAATGAAACGTCTCATCAAGCGATATGTGTTCAAAGCACAAATTGATAAAGAAAGCGATGAAGTTAATGAAGGTAAGGTAGAGCTATTTGATTATTTGGTCCAAGCAAATAAGCTTTCTATAGTCTTCTCTGTAGCAAATTGTCTTTCAGTTAGGATTATGACTTATGGTTAAGTCGATCTGCTGAAGTCAATCTTCTCCATATTTGCTTACGACTTCGGTGTTCAATCGGGAAAAGAACATGACCAATGTCTTTCACTTTCTGCACTTTCTAGGTGAGCTGAAAGAAATCAAGCAGGACATTTCCAGTTTGCGTTATGAACTACTTGAAGAAAAATCCCACAACACGGAGGACCTGGCTGAGCTGATTAGAAAACTCGGAGAGAAGTTATCAATTCAGACAGCACACCAGTAAATAGGAGGATATATTTAATATATTTTCAGAGCAATTTCAAACCAACACACTTTTATTGCTGTTGCCTTGAAATATCAAATAACTAAAATCACACTCTGTGGCTGATGAGGTACATGGAAGAAAATAAACTTATCTTACGTTTCTCATGTTTAAATATTTAGTCTGGCAAATTATATTTTTTCATTCAAGTTCTCAGATTTTTCCAAATGCCCCAAGTTAGTGGCACCATTTCTCTCGCTGGCCTTTTTGTAGTTTTACTTGGTAGTGCCAAAATGGCAGAACTAAAACCACAAAATCAGTCTTGTGGACTGGCTGCATAATAAGGTTTTAATGATGCCGGTGTCCTCTTAAAGCAGGGCAAAAGCAAATAGTGAAGGCACTGTGAAATATTTTGTATTTTGTATGTTTGTTAACTTATGTTGCTGAAGCCATATCCTTCATATAATGATGCTACCTAACTGAACAGGTTCTTTTATCTCTCTAATGTAAATCTGCAATAAAAAATAAAATAAAATATTTAAATAAACGGGCAAGGAATATGAGAGGTTAGTGAAGGTATGTTATAATTACAATTTGTTAGTCACTAGACCTTCAGTGAATTAGCTTATCACACAAAGTTTTTCAGGATGATTTTTGTATAAATTCAGTGCTGAACTGTTACAAGCAATTCAGTGTCACATTTTTTTCATTACATGTTGCATTATGGATAATCAAGCACTGTACTGTATTTCAAGAACCTTGTTCTGAAAGGTTTCAATCTGGAGAAGCACTTCTTTGGATTCACAGCTAATTGCAGGTCATGCATTAAGCATACTGTATTTGCAAACAATATATGTATAGAGAGCACATGGAGGCCTACCAAATATTGCTTTTTTTTCATTTTAAAATGGCTTTCAAGTTATCTATGAAAGAAAACTGTCCTGCATTTTTGACAGGGTTGTCACTCCTTTAATAGTTTAGAGTTATACAGATGGCATGTCACGGTGTACAGCTTTATACTTCAGTTATGCAAAACATCATTTTATGTATAATTTTTGTCTCTTTTTTCACCTCCCTTCTACCCTACAAAGACATCACCACTGCCGTGTTTATAATGGATGAAGTTTATGTAAACACAATTGTTTTTATTAATAAAGCCATTATTTTGAAATATACTATACCCGTGAATCACTCTATCATAAAAAAAAATATTAATTTCTTTCAATGCAGCATTGCGGCTTTTTATCCATCTAACCACTTCTTTTAATTCAGGGTCGGATGGGACCCCAGTCCATCGCAGCATAGACACACACACTGTAGGGCCAGTTTTCCCAGAAGCCAGTTAACCTACCCTTATGTTTTTGGACTGTGGGAGAAAACCAGAGCACCTGGTGGAAACATACACCTTCCACACAGATTGCACCCCAGGTCTGGAATTGAACCCTGGGCACAAGCATTTTGAGGCAGCAATGCTAACAATGCCTCTCTTGCTAATTAAATTAATAGAAATTACAAACCACATGCAGTTTTTAGATTTAGAATGTTTGCCTTGCTATTGCTTGTTATGGGAACAGAAATCCATAGCAACACTGAAGTAAGGCGACACACTGGAACTTCATTAAATAGAACTGCAGAAGCAGCCAAGAGATAACACTGAGCAAACAAGTCTTTTCTATCCATTAGGGAATGGTGATACTCTTATTATTTTTCAGTTTTCTTTATACAAGACAGAAATATGCACACCTCTTTACAAGAAAGAAGCAACAAACTGGACTGGTTTCTACAACTAGTACAGCAGTCTACTCACAGAAATAGTCAAGCAACTTTTACTAAGGCCCCACTTTGCCATTTATAGAGTATGTGTGTAATTAGGGTTGATTGATGGCTAATGATCCCAATGAACAAACCCACATTCTCACCCTTATTCTTACTTAGAGCTCTGTTTCTTTCAGTGAAACAAGGTGCAGCTGGCCTACCTTTGAAGGAAAATCCTATTGCAGGAGCCAACATTAAAGTGGATTTTTATCATAAATACCTATGAAAAAGACACTATTATATTGTTGTGAAGGAAGACAACAATATTTACAGATATTGGCTTATTTACAGATATTTCATGAAAAATTAGAAGTGCCTCAGCACTCCTAATTCCTACATTTAATATATATATATAAAGACTGGAAAAGCTTCAGTATGCTTGAAACAAATGTCATTAAAAGATGAATCATATGGTCTGAGGCAGTAACTAAGAGCTCTGGTTTTAGATATCTGGAAAAGTGTAATAGGAGATCCAGTCACATGGGGACACTGTTGTCTAGGTTTCCTCACCATTATCCTTTATCCATGTATATAAAAAGTATTTCCCAGTCTTTAGAACAAAATATTACAAGGGAAAGTAAATAACAGATACTGGAAATACATATGAAAATATATTTGCTTTCAGATTTCCATTTCACTGACCAGGTATCTTTTGTTTCTTATGCCTTTTTTCAGTATTTCTTTTTCAGGTTTCAGGAAAATAGAGCACCTTCCCAAGCATTCCAAGAGAGGATTTGTGTACAACCTGTACAAACCATTTATTTTATTAACATAATTATTTGAGTTACTTAGTAAAGTATCTGGATGAATCAAAAGCTTATAATACAGTACATTCCTAGAAATAACAAATATATTTATGAGAAATAAAATATAAAAAGTAAAAATGTGAATGCATAATATTATATTACTAAACAAACATACAGTAGCTCATATCCTCAGTGTCTAAAGAATAATTAAAAGCCAACACATATTAATACAGTTTTTAATAATGTTTTCAATGAAAATTCAGGAGAAAGTCAAACCCTAATCTCAACTGCTTCTTTATACTACATAAAAATATCACAGTTCTAATTTGCTCGCTAGTGCATTTTGTTTCGCATGATACTATTTGGTACTCACCAACGACAGACCTCTTCCTCCATCTGCTGAACCAAAAACCAAACCTCAGCATTCACAGCGACTCGGCAAGCCACAAAATTTGGCGGAATATCTTCTGGATATCTCCATAAGAGCAACTCTGATCTGACATCACTCCTGCCTTACTTCTCACTCCTCCCAGCTTTCACACAAATCTCCCAGTCTATCACTGGTCTGTCACCATCCAGCCACAGCAGTCCACTCTTGCAATCCCCGATTCCATCATCCAGATATTTCCATATACCATGGACAACCACCTACTCACCAAAATTGCAACACTTCCTTTCCTTTTACCCCAACCTGTCCTGATCACATCATACTGTACATCCATGGAGCTCTGACAAAACTCAACTAGACTCCTGGGGTGTCTCTCCTCCTTTCCTCTCTTTTCATCTTCTTTTTCGTCCCTGGGTGTCACCTTTGGCCTCGGCGATGCTTTCTGCGTTTTGACTCTTTCCATTCCCCCTCCCACCTCTTCACACTGTCCCACAGGAGACGGACTGACTGAGGACACTTGCCTGCCTTTCCAGCAACCAGCTCAGTCCACGGCAGGTCCTGACTTTTTGTTCACAGCCCTTGCCAACCCCACTTCTTACACTCTGACCCTGCTTCCTTGTGCATCCCGGTCACAACCCAGGCAGCAGTGCTGAGAAATCCTCCTTCCTTCCCTCTCTTCCCCACTGGAATCCTACTGTACATGGTGAAGCATTGGCCCCTTGACCAATTATTATCCTCTGTATTATCCTCTAATGTGGTTCCTAATCCTGGTCCTGGTGACCTACAGTCTGTCATAGATGTGTCTGAAGACATCCAATCCCTCAATGCTGAGCCAGGAGGAAAGGGTGACCCGGAACTATATAGCCCTACACAAAGACACACTGGAAGGATAAGCAAAGCACAGGGAAACTAGGAACAGGACAGAGTAGGAGCACCCTCTAGCTGTAGAGGGCGTGACACATACCTGCTGGTTTTATTGCATCCCGCCTTCATTAGATAGCTGAAGCCTTACTTGAGCTAAGAAGTTGCTTCAGATGAATATTTGCATTTTGTTTCAACAGGTAAGTGGGTCAGCAGGACTGGGAATCACTGCCCTAATGTAATCCTCCATTCCATCACTTCCTGTAAAGCTACTGTATAAAAGGAGTAAACAATGTTTTCTGTAACCCAAACCCTACACAGGGAAGAAATACCCCATAATTTCAGGATTTTTTTACAGCATTTTTAAACTAATTGAAAAAAATTTTTTAAATAGTTTTGATTGTTTTAGATTTTGAAATCTGATGACTGGAGGGCTTCAGAGACAGATTGCATGATTGATCTTTTGAAGCCCCAGCTAGGGTTAGAGTTAGGATTCCCACACTGCATAACGATGCACGTAACGATGCATTACAAAACATAGGCAGCAAAAAGACTAAAAAAAACTTGCAGATAGGAGGTTGATCGTCTTCAGTATTGTGTCAGCTGAAAAATGCTGTAAAAATGATGGGGGTATATCTGGACAGTAAAAAGACTCCTTCATTTCATTTCATTTCCAGGTGCATGACCTGATGCCAATAATTTGTCTGACTTCTCAATAAACATTTCTTTTCTTATTGGGTGTTGTCACTCTCCCTGGAAAGCACATTAAATATAATATAAATGGGACAGAAGCATTGCATTTCAATCTTTAAAAATCTTTATTGGGCTGTGTTTAATAGAGAAACAGATACACATTCTATCAGAAAAGGTTGAGTGATGATGAAAGACCTTTATACAGGACTGTATAGTGTAAATCTCTTAGTAATGAGACATCTGAAAAGAATGTAAACAGTACTGAAATTAATTATTACATAGACAGATAAACACAGCTTGAAAAAAGTGATGAAACTAGTACTGGCATCAGACTTTCACAGGGCAGGTCAACAAAGTGTCCAACCTTGGTCCTGGAGGGCCACTGTGTCTGCAGGTTTTAATTGCAGCTCCACTCTTAAGGAGCAAAACCACCTGGTTCTTTGCTTTGCTTTAATAGCTTCTCCCAGCTCCTGAGATGTAGCTGCTTAAAAAAAAACCTGGAAGACCCGCAGTCTCAGGGATAGGACACTCTTAAGATGCAGTAAATGATACATTTGTCCAGGATTATTTAGTTTAGAAAATATGATATCATTCAGGCCACGTCTGTCTGCACAGCCAATGCTTTTATATCAACAAAAAAATAAAATAAACACACTTTGCTTTACATTAGACACAGATAAGCTCATTTATCAACAGTGGATTCCAAGCTCATCACTTGCTGATTAACTTCCTGCTCACAAGAAGCTTGTATGTATTCAATTGAAAATCACCATTTTGGGACTGAAATTTCCATCGGGCAGGTGAGTAGACGTTCCGATTTGCTTGTTGAATGAACATGTTCACCTTCTAAAATGAGCACAACACAAACTATTTTTCTCATACCTCTAACGTGATAATATTACCTACCTTAATTCTCATGTGACCTGGAAGAGGCCAGGCTCACTGTTATGAAGCGTAAATCAAGACCCTATGCAGACGATAGAATCTGGAAGGGAGTGCAACAGACACAGGGAGGAGACGGCGAGGAACTGGGCAGGTTGACGAACAGGGAGGTGTGACGACGGTGCCCTTGTGCTCGGAGGGACATGCTCCAGGCGAGCTAGTCCAAAACAATCTGAAAGGGAAACAAGGAAACAGTCCAAAGGTCCAGTACCGGGTGATCCATCCAAGACAAAACAAGACGAGGTTAAAAACCAGAATGGGATCTGGTGCAGGGACAGGGAATAAAAACGGGATATCGAAGCCAGGCGCTCTGAGCCCCGGACTCAGCTGGGTCAGGACGCTGACAGGAGGGCTATGCCCTCAAGCCGCGGGCACAGGGTGACTTGGTGGTATGCGGGCCTCTGGGCGTCCGTCTTCCAATGCAGAGCCCAGAATAGAGTGAGCGTCTGGCTTATAAGGAGGGGCTGGATTGGAAGCAGATGCACATGATCAAGTAAAATGTGAAAGAGACGGAGCGCCCTTAAGAAGAGGGATTACAATCGTGACACTCACCTGATATGCCCGACTACTTAAAGCATAGATTTTTTAAACATTATCTTTCACGTTATTTAATAATGAAATCATCATTAAATGGGGGATCTTCCATTTTGTTGAACCCAAAAAATCGTCATTGTCAGAGATGTTTGGTTCTAGTCCCAAACAATTACTGTAAACATTATTCCGATAAATA